AAAAAGTTAAAAATTGGCCTCTCCAATTGGACTAATAATATGCCCAAGTTGGGACTATTTCAAAGGGAGAAACATCCATGTCAGGGTAAAAAATTATAATACGAGAAATCCCAAACAAAAAGGAAGCGTGTATTAGCAGCATATCTTGAATTGCTAATTTGACTTGAACAAATCCATCCCTCTTCAAATTTTCAAAACCAATAATTATAAATACCAGAAAAATGTGATACACAAACAAACCTCTTTACCGAGAGATTATTTCTGCATGCAACAATTGCCAAAAGTCCTCTGACCCTCTTTTGTAGGCTAACTGAAGATATCTGCAAAAAGCATAAGCATGGGAAAGAAACTCATTGCTCTGTTCAGCAGAAGCTCTAAAAGTGCAAAAAAATTGAACATGCTTGCCAGTCTTGCTATCTCCAGGATTGCCATTATCAAAAACCTTCACACTGTGAAGTGCTCCCAAGCGGAGTCTGATGTGATTCAGCTACTGAAGCTAGGTCACCAAAATCAGGCCATTATCCGTGTAAGTTGAATGTATGAAAAGAAAAAAAAAAAAAAAAAGGCATAATCATGTGCTTTGACTCTTTAACTCGGTTTATCACTTCTTCTTATCAAATAGGTTGAGCAAGTCATGGAGGAGCAAAATACATTAGATGCATATGTATTGATTGAGAACTACTGCTATCTCTTGGTGGAGAGGGCTGAGATGGTCAAAAATAGCAGGTTTATACCTTCACCCTTCTGTTCAAGATTATCATGTGTTTACTCATTGAAAAAAGTGAGTTTTTTCATTTGTTATTCTGACATAACATTGTGCATCTTCATAACATTTCCTATAGGGAGTGGTTGTACTCTTATGGATCAATATATTATATATCAAAGAACCAAAGCTTTGGCAAGATGTTTAGAGATACAAATCTAATTCTTCAAACTTTGGCATGTCCATAAAACAAAATCCATGTTAGAAGTTAGAACATACACATTAGTAATTTAATTTTCAAAATGTATTAACATTCTCCCTTACAGGGAATGTCCTGCTGAGCTCAAAGAGACGGTCTCGGCCTTAATCTTTGCAGCTTCGAGGTGTGGGAATTTCCCAGAGCTGCAGGAGATTCGTGTTTTATTCACATCCAAGTTTGGGAAAGAGTTCGCCAAAAGCTCGGTGGAATTAGAAAATAACTGCACGGTATTTTTTTTGGGTTACTAATGTCAATCATTTTTCATGTTGAAGGACTTGTGTTGATGTAATAGAAATTCTAAAATGCATTCTCTTCTTTCAGATGATACAGAGATTTTCAACACGGCAACTGAGCTTGGAAAGCATACAAAATTTATTAAAGCAAATCGCTAAACATAATGGAATCACTCTTCAACTGGACCATGACGAAGCCTTTGATATCTCAAATACGGTAAAACAGAACATAAAGAACAGATAACTAAACAGAACTTTGTCATATATTATTATAATATTTTAGCCTAACTAGGACAAGATCCAGTTTTCTTCTAAAAGCACAAGTAACATATATATGCCCTCTTGTAATTTGTGTTGCTCTTGCAATTAGCACGACGAGAGAGAGAGAGAGAGAGAGAGAGAGAGAGAGTCAAGGTAATTTGTAAGTTTGACTTGAACCTATCATGTCAAAATTTGGTTGCCAAGAGGATAGACAATTTCCAACAAAGCCTAAAAGGCTACAATATAAATCCAAAATTTTAGTGGATGAAGTGCAAAAGTCGCTACAGTTTGGATGTCAGCATACAAATAACCCGTCCGAAAATATTCCCAAAGAAACTTTATTTCCCAGCCAGATTCTTATTATCTGACATGAAGCAAATACCACAGGTAAAACAGATGCACGCATCAAATGAATAAAGTGCCACCTTTGGTTTTGAGGCTATTCCAGCACACCAGCATTTTCCAGAAGCAGTGAAGAACTTTCAGAGCCACTAATGGCAAGAAACACTTAGAGAGATATTGAAACTGCAGCCCAAGAAGGTTGAGTCCCACCATCAACATACCCCACACAATACGAGTCTGAAACTCAGAGGAACTTTGGCTTCTTCAAAGTTGAAACTGGGACTAAAACCGGCATTTTCAGTAGAAACTCGCTATTCTGAATTCATAATGCTGTACCAGTAAGTGGAGTTTGACTGTAGAAGATGGCATGATTACTGTATACCAGTTGGAACAAAATAAATATGCTCACGTGTAAATGATATTCTTTCTCCTTTCTCAATAACATCATTGGCCTCAAATCCTACATATAATGTTTCAGTTTACCTTCAACTTTGATACAGTTACTATAAGATGGATATGAGGTGCTCTGTGCAGGGCAATTACTGGTATACAACAGATGAAAAACATAAAAATAAAGCATTAATCAACCACAGAAGAGTCAAGGCCATGAACTT